TAATCCTAAATGCGAAACCTTTTTCATACTCCCAAATCCTGAATGCGAAACCTTTTTCATACTCCCAAATCCTGAATGCGAAACCTTTTTCATAGACCTTAATCCTAAATGCGAAACCTTTTTCATACTTCTAAATCCTGAATGCGAAACCTTTTTCATAGACCTTAATCCTAAATGCGAAACCTTTTTCCTTCTCTCAAGTCAAAAATGCGAAACCTCGCCCATACTCCCAAGACAAGCGAAATGGTTTTCTTATGCAGAGCAAGCAAGGCGCGGTATCGGAACAGCAAACGCTCTTAGACATGCGATTATCTGGGAATTTATCTGCATTAATAAACGATCGCCTACTCTACGTGTATCAGCCTGCGCCGTCCTGGGATTCGCCAACAATATGCATACACTAAATTCATGACCAACAAAATTACCGCCTACAAAACAAAAAGCAATCAAGCCTTGGGCTTAAGAAAACAAAATCGGATACAGAATCACTTCAATGGGGGAAAACATGATCTGGCGAATGTGTATGTACCAAAGATCTCCTCATTGGCTGTCTAAATATAGCAAGTCTCAAGTCCCGTAACCCACGTCTGTGTGGATGTTTTCCCTTTGACTTGGCCGTAAGTGGAGCATCAATTATAATAACAGTTTTTGAGCAACAACTTTTTATGACCACAGTTCATTAGAAAAATCGATACAGTTATTTCGTCTACCAGAGGGTAACAGACGGGAAGAAGTGGGAGGCAATCGTGTGACTTATTTAACAGCCAGCGTTTGTGGTATGTCGCCAGCGAACCGACTCTTTGCTTATTTACTAAGTTATGTATTGGTAAACGGAGCAATCGAAATGAATCGTAACTCATCTATACCTATACAAGTGCGAATTGGTTTTGAACAGTCGGTAAAGTTAAGTGCTGCTTATACAAAATAGTGGTTTATTTTTTCCAAGATCCGTTACTTAGTTCTATCTAGCATTAAAAGTTCCCCTTCGGACCTATCAACTAATAGGGTAGATGAAGTAGAGTTAATTTGGTTCTTGACCTCGGCATATGTATGGGTGGATATGGTCCGCAATTTGCCCAGCAGTCTTTACTATCCCTGACATGATTCAGGAGAGGTGGGTGGACTCGGAGACATTCTTTAGACTCTAGTAAGGATTGTAATCAGAGTTCTAGACTTTTGGATTTACCACCCGACCACGCCATCCTTATTAAAGAATAAAAGACTTATTAAAGTGCACAAATAATTCGTTGTTTATAAAGACCAAAATAACGTTGCACTTTTATAAAGTGATATCTTTGTACCTCAAAGCAAGTTTCAATAACATACATGATTTCAAGTTTTTTTTTTTTTTTTTTTTTTTTTTTTTTTTTTTATGTAATTGTCTTCGCTTTGACAACATATTTCTCCAATCTAGATTAAATAAAATTGATTCAGTCTTGTTTTTCACACTTTTCTGACTATAAAATATGGCTCTTTCACACACGTACGCACAACTTATTTATAGATTATTATTTGAACAGACAGCATTGTTCCGTGTTATTCAATGCGAGGGCCGATGATGTGAGAGTGAGTGGAAATCTCTTCAACTAGGTCGAGAGTATTTCTCGTTAGGTCCTAGCGAGCCTCGGCGGTACTGAGGGAAGTGCTAAAAATAGAACGATCGTGACATCTGCTAGCGCTAAGGTGACTTATAGGCCATCTTCTTGGCCGGCTTTTGGAGCGAGGCTCGTTAGATATCTGGCCACAAGTTGGGGAAACTTGTCTTGAAGATAATGATCTCTATGCCTGGCTAATAATGGGATGGGGTCACAGTCATATAATGGGTTGGGGGGGGGGGGTTACAGTCATACAATGGGTTGGGGGGGGGGGGGCTACAGTCGTATAATGGGTTGGGGGGCTACAGTCGTATAATGGGTTGGGGGCTACAGTCATACAATGGGTTGGGGGGCTACAGTCGTATAATGGGTTGGGGGCTACAGTCATACAATGGGTTGGGGGCTACAGTCATACAATGGGTTGGGGGGCTACAGTCGTATAATGGGTTGGGGGCTACAGTCATATAATGGGTTGGGGGCTACAGTCATACAATGGGTTGGGGGCTACAGTCGTATAATGGGTTGGGGGCTACAGTCGTATAATGGGTTGGGGGCTACAGTCATACAATGGGTTGGGGGGCTACAGTCGTATAATGGGTTGGGGGCTACAGTCATACAATGGGTTGGGGGCTACAGTCATACAATGGGTTGGGGGGCTACAGTCGTATAATGGGTTGGGGGCTACAGTCATATAATGGGTTGGGGGCTACAGTCATACAATGGGTTGGGGGCTACAGTCGTATAATGGGTTGGGGGCTACAGTCATATAATGGGTTGGGGGCTACAGTCATACAATGGGTTGGGGGCTACAGTCATACAATAGGTTGGGGGGCTACAGTCGTATAATGGGTTGGGGGCTACAGTCATATAATGGGTTGGGGGCTACAGTCATACAATGGGTTGGGGGCTACAGTCATACAATGGGTTGGGGGCTACAGTCATACAATGGGTTGGGGGGCTACAGTCGTATAATGGGTTGGGGGCTACAGTCATATAATGGGTTGGGGGCTACAGTCATACAATGGGTTGGTGGCTACAGTCATACAATGGGTTGGGGGCTACAGTCATACAATGGGTTGGGGGGCTACAGTCGTATAATGGGTTTGGGGCTACAGTCATACAATGGGTTGGGGGCTACAGTCATACAATGGGTTGGGGGCTACAGTCATACAATGGGTTGGGGGCTACAGTCATACAATGGGTTGGGGGCCTACAGTCATACAATGGGTTAGGGGCTACAGTCATACAATGGGTTGGGGGCTACAGTCATACAGTGGGTTGGGGGGCTACAGATACAATGGGTTGGGGGCCTACAGTCATACAATGAGTTAGGGGCTACAGTCTTACAATGGATTGGGGGCTACAGTCATACAATGGGTTAGGGGCCTACAGTCATACAATGGGTTGGGGGCTACAGTCATACAATGGGTTGGGGGCTACAGTCATACAATGGGTTGGGGGGCTACAGTCGTATAATGGGTTGGGGGCTACAGTCATACAATGGGTTGGGGGCTACAGTCATACAATGGGTTGGGGGCTACAGTCATACAATGGGTTGGGGGCTACAGTCATACAATGGGTTGGGGGCTACAGTCATACAATGGGTTGGGGGCCTACAGTCATACAATGAGTTAGGGGCTACAGTCTTACAATGGGTTGGGGGCTACAGTCATACAATGGGTTAGGGGCCTACAGTCATACAATGGGTTGGGGGCTACAGTCATACAATGGGTTGGGGGCTACAGTCATACAATGGGTTGGGGGGCTACAGTCGTATAATGGGTTGGGGGCTACAGTCATACAATGGGTTGGGGGCTACAGTCATACAATGGGTTGGGGGCTACAGTCATACAATGGGTTGGGGGCCTACAGTCATACAATGAGTTAGGGGCTACAGTCTTACAATGGGTTGGGGGCTACAGTCATACAATGGGTTAGGGGCCTACAGTCATACAATGGGTTGGGGGCTACAGTCATACAATGGGTTGGGGGCTACAGTCATACAATGGGTTGGGGGCTACAGTCATACAATGGGTTGGGGACCTACAGTCATACAATGGGTTGGGGGCCTACAGTCATACAATGGGTTGGGGGCTACAGTCATACAATGGGTTGGGGGCTAGTTATACAATGCATTAGGGCCTAGTTAAACAATGGGTTGGGGGCTTGTTATGCAATGAGTTGGGGGCTAGTTGCACATTGTGTTGGGGCTAGTTGGTTCTACTCACATACAAATAGTTGTTTTAAAAAATTGTGGTAGGCTCCTACAGAAATGCATGTATGACCCAAGCACGCAGCAACACTGTGAAATTGGAGCAAACATAGGCTACTCGGACAGCTTCAGTTATAATCTACGCTTTCCATAGAGCAGATAAAATACAGCGTTATCTGTCTCCATTACCACAACGTATGAAGGGATGGTCAATGCTATGTCAAACAGCCTTCACTTTCCCTTACATGAGTCAGGTAAATTTATTAGATCGGCGGACTCAGTTACGGGTTTTGGAGCTAGGGAACCGAACTCTCTTTCGGATTTGCAATCGTGTGCTCTAACATTTGACCATGCGGTCCCATAATACTCAATTTGTATAACATTTAATTCACGCAAAATATATTTTAGACAAGGCATTTCTAAAACTTTAATAAAAGAAATGTAGATTTAAGCATGATTTACTAGAGATGTGCACAAACAGAGAACAGAGCAACCCCTCCCCCTTCCCTGTCAATTAGCCCCCCGGACATAACCCCCCCCCGACATTACCCCGGAGTAATTACCCCCCCCCCCCGTCAATTCCCATCCCCCAGTAGGACATTACCCCTCCCCTGCCTCGGACACAGCTTAATGTACATCTAGGGTTAAAGTTAGGGTTAGGGTTAGGATTAGGGTTAGGGCTGTTAAGTTTAAAGCTGATGTGAATACTTAGGTTTTGGTCTATGATTAAGGTTAGGATTAAGGTAATATATAGATATAGAATTTGAGATAGAGTTAGGGATCTAACTTGAGAGGGGGGGGGGGGTAATTCCCCGTGGGGGTAATTGACAGGGTAGTAATTGACAGGGGGTAATTGCTCCGGGGGTAAATACGGGGGGATGTCCGGGGGTTAATTGTCGGTGGGATAATGTCCTGTATCCGCATAAAATAATGTAAAGATGGCAGCGGTTCATGTTACTACAAGACATGACATTTTATTGTTTAGAGTGAAGAAGACACGCAAAGCAATGTGAAGATGGCAGGCTGTACAATACGCTACTACAAGACACATGGACTTGACACTTATATGCAGTTCAGAGCGAAGAAGACACGGTGACATGACTCACCTATAAACGTCATTCTGACTAGGGTAGACCGGGCCACTTACCTATAAACGTCATTCTGACTAGGGTAGACAGAGTCACATGACTTACCTATAAACGTCATTCTGACTAGGGTAGACCGGGCCGGGTTTAGCAGACCAGCAGCCCATGGCTCTCTCCTTGCCAGCAGAAGGCGGGGTGGTTGAAAAAGGCGATAACGTTGGTGACTGTCTGTACGACGATGAGGAGGATGAAGAAGAGGACAGCATGCGTGATATCAAAGGCGAGTCGCCCCTGTCGTTGCCCTGGAAGGCCTGGGCCGTGAACTCGAGCACGTCCCGGAGGAGTTCGTCTGCTCTCACGTCCGTGTTCACGAGGAACGCTTTCGTCCCCAGCGGGAAATCCCGGAGCAGGTCTTCGTTTCGCGTGTACGCGTTCTCCGTGATAATCCAGGCGAGGAGGTTGAGGTGGGAGAAGACGTGCTTGGCGCTGATGAATATCCGCCGGGCCAGCGCCGCCGTGGCGTGGAGGACAAATATCCTAGAGGAGTTACGGCACAGGGACTCGAGCGAGTTGTTGAGAGCTTCTTCCGAGATGGTGTTGGATATGAAGATCTCGTCCTCGACCGTCCATTTGCCGTCTATCGTGAGGTCCCTGACGATGTAAAATGAAAAAATTCACAAGTATTTTATTTGTTGGGGTTGAAAAAAATAATATGAAAATTAAACCCGTTTGTTGACAATGCCTATCATTCTGTGTAAACAACTAAACCATTTGAGAATCTAACCAGTTTAATAACAATTTTAGAATTATGCTAAGGGCGTGTAAGCAACCAAACCATTTGAGAATCTAACCCGTTTAATAACAATTTTAAAATCATGCTAAGAGCGTGTATACAATTAAACCATTTGAGAATCCGACCCGTTTAATAACAATTTTAAAATTATGCTAAGAGCGTGTATGCAACCAAACTATCCGTGAATCCAACCCGTTTTATTCCAGTGTGAATCAGGCATATCATGCATTGAGCTTGTATAAAACTAAACCATTTGAAAATCTAACCCGTTTGATACCAGTTATAATCATGATAAGAGCGTGTAAAACCAAACCATTTGAGAATCCAAACCGTATTATGCCAGTGCTAATCATGCATTGAGCTTGTATAAAACTAAATCATTTGTACATTCCCGTCAGAATCTGAGACTATAATAACATTTCTGCAGTCAATGTTAACCTGAGCCTGGTTGGGACTGGGGTATCCGGCCAGGGTATGGGAGGGTGGGGCGAAAGGGGGGGGGGTCAGTTAATCTTGTACTGGCAAACAAGGTTAGACAATTATGGTTACAATTGGCTATTGACAGGTAATGAAGCGATGGCTGGTCTCTTGTGAATACACACATAGAATCTATACTATCGATAGTTCTACATTCAGAAACGGCTCTAACTGTGCTCTATAAAAGTGAATCTTTACACACGGCAACGTGCTAGCACACAGATCTGTATACGGTCTATAGACGCACCACCGAAGTAATGGACCTTATGACATTCAGGTCTATAGCTGTGGGCTGAATATCTAATTATTGTTTGACTGTCGTTCAGACATAAAAGTTCGCTTAAACATACCTTGTCACCTCGGAGCCTGTAAAGCCATTTTAAACACCATGTAACCCACCTGAATGTATAAAGGCCATCAGAGCAGATAACCCACATGAATGTCCGCTAAAAGCCACAATAACACACCAGGTAACCCACAAGAACGTCCGCTAAAGGCCAGAATAACACACCAGGTAACCCACCTGAATGTCCGGTAAAAGCCATCATAACACGACAGTTAACCCACCTGAATGTCCGGTAAAAGTCATCATAAAACACCAGTAAAATAACCCACCCGAAGGTCTAAAAGCCATCATAACACACCAGGTAACCCACCTTAATGTCCGTTAAAGGCCATCATAACACAGCAGGTAACCCACCTGAAGGTCTAAAAGCCATCATAACACATCAGGTAACCCACCTTAATGTCTGTTAAAGGCCATCATAACACAGCAGGTAACCCACCTGAAGGTCTAAAAGCCATTATAACACACCAGGTAACCCACCTGAATGTCCGGTAAAAGCCATCACACCAGGTAACCCACCCGAATGTCCGGTAAAAGCCATCATTACACACCAGGTAACCCACCTGAATGTCTAAAAGCCATCATAACACAACAATTAACCCACCAGAAGGTCTAAAAGCCATCATAACACACCAATTAACCCACCTGAAGGTCTAAAAGCCATCATAACACACCAGGTAACCCACCTGAATGTCTAAAAGCCATCATAACACATCAGGTAACCCACCTGAATGTCCGGTAAAAGCCATCATAACACATCAGGTAACCCACCTTAATGTCCGTTAAAGGCCATCATAACACAGCAGGTAACCCACCCGAATGTCCGTTAAAAGCCATCATAACACACCAGGTAACCCACCTGAATGTCCGGTAAAAGCCATCATAACACACCAGGTAACTCACCTGAATGTCCGGTAAAAGCCATCATAACACACCAGGTAACCCACCTGAATGTCTTAAAGCCATCATAACACACCAGGTAAGCCACCTGAATGTCCTGTAAAAGCCATCATAACACACCAGGTAACCCACCTGAATGTCAAGTAAAAGCCACCATAACACACCAGGTAACCCACCTGAATGTCCGGTAAAGGCCATCATAACACAACAGGTAACCCACCTGAATGACCGGTAAAAGCCATCATAACACACCAGGTAACCCACCTGAATGTATAAAAGCCATAACACAGCAGGTAACCCACCTGAATGTCCGGTAAAAGCCATCGTAACGCAGCTCTTCTTGCGTGACCATGGTCAGACGGTACCAAAAATTGACGGCCAGTAGGTTGACCAAACCCCTGGCTAAATGTTTGTTGGACGGCTGCAAGCTCAGGAACAGTGGATTGTGGATCTGTGGATAATATGGATTTGTTAGCAGGTATGCGGTATTATTACAACAAAATGGAAACAGTGGATTGTGGATCTGTGGATAATATGGATTTGTTAGCAGGTATACGGTATTATTACAACACAATGGAAACAGTGGATTGTGGATCTGTGGATAATATGGATTTGTTAGCAGGTAGCCTATGCGGTATTATTACAACACAATGGGAACAGTGGATTGTGGATCTGTGGATAATATGGTTTTATGTGTTCGTGGGTACACGGTATTATTACAACACAATGGTCGCCATCGTGTGTTATTTGGTAGTTGTAAATAGACATAAGTACACATACATCGATTAGGTTACACAAACACTTTATCAGTAGCCTTTGTGAAACAGCGCAGTAAGGCGCATCCTAAATGCGCATATCTTTAGCTAATTGTTGTAAGTACCCTCTATCCCCAATATGGCGCACTTTATATCAGCACAAGCCAAGCCGACTGTAGGTCTCACGGCACCGTTTGGGGCAGTAGGTCTATTGTAGGTATTCCCCCGCCCCAGCATTTTCATGCACTAGGCCGATGGTAGGTTTCCACAACTCGAGGCACTTTTTAATTCACTAGCCTGTTTGTAGGTATCGCATACTCACAGCACTATTTGATGCACCCTAGCTAATCACGTTACCATCCAAAGTAAATATTTAAAAAACGTCTTTAAACGTATGACGCTTGGTTAAAAAAATAGTCTATTATCTGCTATAATATGACAAGACTTTAGACAAGTGGGTCTTAATCTGGGTTCGAGTGAACCCTAAGGGTTCGGTGCGTCAGTCTCATGGGTTCGGCGCAGGTCAAGACACACACCCGTCACATATGATTCATGATCGGATTTTTGTCAGTGTGGACGATACAACTATTAAGAAGGGTTCGGTGAAGGCGCATATGAAACTGATGGGGCTCGGTACCCCCAAAAAGATTGAGAACCCCCGCCTTAGACTGAACCCATGTACTCGGTCCGTGATGTGGCCAGTGTATCAACACGAAGAAGGTCTGCTTGAGCGTCATTTTATTTCTATGTCAATGTGTTTGTGTAGAGGCTGAGAACTGTCTCTGTGAACAGGGCGCTACGCGGCGCTGTAGGAGCTGTCTGGGTAGATTATACAGTACTGTCTGTTAGCATCATAGTACCGCTTCCTTGCATTAGATACTGCTATTTGTCAGTATTACATAGTGCTGCTTGTTACAATTTCATAGTGCTGTTTGTTGTTTGTTAGCATTTTATAGCGCTGTTGGTTAGCATTATATAGTGCTGTTTGTTAGCGTTACATAGTGCTGTTTGTTAGCATTATATAGTGCTGTTTGTTAACAATATATTTATTGCTGTTTGTTAGATTTACATAGGGCTGTTTGTTACCTTTATATAATGCTGTTTGTTAGCATTACATAGGGCTGTTTGTAAGCTTTATATAGTGCTGTTTGTTAGCATTATAAAGTGCTGTTTGCTAGCATTATATAGTGCTGTTTGTTAGCTTTTTATAGAGCTGTTTGTTAGCATTATAAAGTGCTGTTTGCTAGCATTATATAATGCCGTTTGTTAGCTTTATATAATGCCGTTTGTTAGCTTTATATAATGCCGATTGTTAGCTTTATATAATTCCGTTTGTTAGCTTTATATAATGCCGTTTGTTAGCATTTTATAGTGCTGTTTGTTAGCATTACATACAGTGTACAGTTCTAGACTATGCCATTAGTTTACATTACATTTTGATGAACGCACCTTGGTTCTTTTTAATTAAAATTTATTTATTTTGTAAAGGTACACCAATTCCAGTCCACCCACATATATTTAATTGGGGTAGGGAAAAAATACATCTCAAAATCGATCAAACAAAATTACATTGAACAAACTTATTGATTTCTATTATTGATTGTAAATACTTTGTATGTTTTCAAAAACCTTCTAAATAATTTTAATCTAATATATAAAGCTCAGTTCTGTATGTAATGCATTTGTATGTCGTTGGAATTGTACGAATTTAAGTGTTAGAAAATTATCGTGCGCATTTGTCTAAATTTATGAGCTAAAAAATTACTATTGAAAGTGTTGGGAAATAATTTTCATTTTTCAAATTATAGTAATAATTGTCGGCATGTTCATTAAACACAAGTTTTAAAAAAAATATCATCTTTTACAAAAATTCTAATTATGTCTTTATTTAGTCCTATAGCACTTACTTCCCTTTGATAAATTAGGAAAAACACAATTACTTCCCTTTATAAAACCATTGCATTCCGTGAAAATAATTTACTTTTTAATTACTTTGTTTTGGTGTTGGGAAAGAAAATAATTACATAATTAGCGGGGATTGATCAAGTGCAAATGTTGTAGGTATTTTACGGATAAGCTTGGACTATTAAAATTGTTTATTAAATTGAAACAGGCGCGTTCGTTTAAGTGAGTGCAAAAGACTGTGAATAAGTTGGGGTACTATAGTCGTTCATTAAGCTAAAACAGGTGATTCCGCCCCGGGCGTTTATGTTCGCGTTAGTGTTTTCTTTGTGTTTAGGTGGGTTTGCGTTAGTGGTTGCGTTTTAATTTGGTTCGTTTTTGTTCTTTCTTTTTTCGTTTTTGTTTGTGTTTTTTTTGTTTGGGTTTGTATTTGTGTTTTTGGTTGGTTTTGCGTTTGGATTTGGTTTGTTTTCGTTTGCTTTTTTCGTTGATTTTTTTTTTGTTGGTATTGGTGTTTGTGGTTGGGTTTGTTGTTAGGTTTTTGTTTTCGTTTGCTTTTTTGTTTGTTTTTTCTTTGTGTTTGTATTGGTGTTTGTGGGTGCGGTTGTGTTTGTTGTTAAGTTTTTGTTTTCGTTTGTATTTGTAATTGTGTTAGCGTTATGTTTGCGTTTTGTTGTTTTGGTTTTGGTTGGTTGTGGTTTGGGTGGGCAATGCCGGGTTTATGATGATTACTAAACACACAGGTAATGGTCTTTAACAGAAAGGTTTTTCACAGAAGCCAGAGCAGGGCCTGGCCGGGACGGCTAGTAGTCTATATTAATTACATATTATTAAAATTGTCTTATTTTTATTAAAGTTGGTCCGTTAATACAATAGTTAAAGATACAGTCCAAAATGATGACATGGGTAGCGATTTTTTTCTTTTACGCGCGCAACATAAATCTAAAAAAAGAAAAACGGAAAGGGGTATATTTTTCTTTAGATTTTTAAATTTTATATTTTTCTGAAAAAAAAAGTTTTATGATTTACTACAGGTGCATTTTGAGTGCTGGTCGGAACCCCCCCCCCCCCCCCCCCCACATACCCGATTACATGGCTTTACAGTACACTATTTAGAAAACGGTTTTAGTAACCTACAGAAGTGAGGAGACGGGTCGGGTTAAGACTACGTCGGTGTCGTCACCACTATTTAGCAGCGCCCTTCTTTAGATAAGAAGATAAACGACAAACATATTCCATTGTCCCCAGACTTACCACGATGCCCAATATGAAATAAATAAAGCAATTGCCTTTATGGAGCGAGAACGCTCAATCTTGGAATTGATTTTCAATTTTCCTATCTATTGTGATTTATGGCTGCTTTCTACTTTCTGCGAGGTCTGACATATAGCTTCTAATTAATTGTTTGATTTCTTCTATTCTTCGTGGAATAATAAATTCTCGTTCAGACAATAAAATAATAGTTATTATTACATTGAGATTGTCGAAACTAGACTAGTAGGCCCAAGCCCTTAGCTCCAAGCATGACATTTTAAAATTGATTATAAAATCTAGATCTAGAAATCAAGATGTAGTAGAAGACTACCATTTTACGGTCCTAAAACGATTGATTATGAAGATTACATATTTGCATTTTCAATCATGCGAGTACTTGAATACAACTATTTGAAGAATAGATAATTTTTTAAAAAATTAATATATTTTATTCAAATAACCTTGCCTTTAAAAAAATGTGCCTATTATTAATCTAGGTAGAACTATAACCAATCGTCTAGTTTTTATTCTGTTTTCTAGATATAGAAGAAATAGATCTAGATCTAGATCTAGATCTTGGACTAGGTCTTCTTCAAGAATCTCTTTTAGGCTAGTTTTACATGCTTTTATCTGCAGACGGCTGATTTTAGACTGCTAATATATATACTTGAGAGTTATCTTTTCTTTGTTTACAATATGGCTATTCCTAAAAGATCAAAGTCCATCGTTTGACATGACTGTACTTTATTAAAAATTCGCAAGAAATGCTATAGTGGATTATTCTTTAAAAATTGACAACAAATATTTAAGAATCCCCTGTATTAAATTATCATGGCGTCTATATTGAAAAACTGGCGAGAAGCAGCTACGTTGATTTTAGTAACGTCTTCCAACATTTCCAGATCAGCACGTATCCAGTTAACAAATGCAACATTGGCAAAGGAATCGACGACAGGAGAATCTACTACCAGCGATGTAAAAGCACGCAAGCAATCTATTATTAGAGAAGACGATTTTGAAGTTTTAATGTTAAAAAGAAGTGCTAAAAGCAAATTCATGCCTAATGTTTATGTATTCCCAGGTGGTGTTGCTGACAGTGATTTTTCCGCTCAGTGGTTGTCTGTTTTTAATAAATTAGGACAAAATGTGTGTAAAAGAATTTTCGAGAATGTTACTGTTGACTCTTCTAAAGCTGCCCCTATGTTTACCCGAGAAAGAAGCCAAGCTTACACAGCAATTCCATCCGAAGTAGCTTTTCGCATCTGCGCTATTAGAGAAACCTTTGAGGAGTCTGGGGTACTATTAGCACAGCCAGCTAATCAATCAATAGCCAGTTCAATTTATTCTCAGAATAGGGTTTTAAGCCCTGCCCTATTACACGAGGATGTCAATGTTATCAATAACTGGAGACAACGTGTCAATAAGGATCCAACAGAGTTTCTTAAAATGTGCCTCGAGCTAGACCTTGTACCGGAAGTGTGGTCACTATATGAGTGGTCAAACTGGTTAACTCCGACGCTCAGACATGAACAAGGCCGCAGGTTCGATACAGCCTTCTTTGTTTGTTGTGTAGACCACAAGCCCACTGCTGCAGTAGATTTAGCTGAAACTGTAAATGCACTGGTAGGCACCATTTATCTTATACATAACATTACTGTTATAGGCCCTAATTTACTTTCTTTTTCTGTTTTACTCTCCAGTAGCCTATTTGTCTTTAAAAAAGTAAACGCAGCTTTTTTTTCAGGAGAGTTCCCATTGAATTTTCAAGTGTTATGTACTATATGCCTATACTCTATAGACACATATATCATTATTTTAACTCTATTTTGAAAGAAAATAAAAAATTTGGGGTATATACTGAAAATATGGATGTATGTGTTAGGTATATGCATAATTAATGATGCACTAATCATTGCATGGCTAAAGTTTTAAAGCATTATAGAATTATATAAGCAATTATGTCAGTGAATAATGATTTCATTGTAAAGTGTTTAAGCAATAAAAAAGTTGCTATTTAACAAGGCATAGGTATAATGTTAGCTGACCCTTCATTAGTAAAAAAAAAAGAAAGTTATAAGACCATGTTTTTAGCTCTTGAATTATAGTTTGCATTGTAATTTGAATTGTGTTTATATCATTTAATTCATTTCACAGTGAAATATATTTCCTCACCATAGAGTTCATAAGTTCCATTTCATTTGTACACATTGGGCTTGTAAAAAACTGTTCCTAAAATGTCTGTACATTTATTTTCAGTGGGCCTCACCAAGCTCATTATTATCGGCATATTTTAAACAGAAGGGTGGCTTGGCACCACCTCAGGTGTATGAACTTTCCAGGCTACTGAATTTTAAATCTGCAAGTGATCTTCATCACTTAGTTAGTGGCCCTAATCGCAGCAGAGTGGAGAGATGGCTTCCTATTGCACTTGTGTGCAAGACTCACACTCTGTCACTGATGCCAGGTCAGTACGTTCAACTTTTTCTTTAAGGTCCTTCATCAAATATAGAGAAATACATACAGCTGTTTTCCATATAAGGGTCTACAGCAGTGGTTCTTAACCTGGGTGTTCGATCGAACCCCAGGGGTTCTCCTGGAACTCAAGACACACACCCGACTCATATGAATCACGATAGGATTCCATCAGTGCAGAGGAGAGAACATTTAAGAAGGGTTTGGTGAATGCACATTTGAAGCTGGTGGGGTTCTGTACCTTTAAAAAGGTTAAGAACCACCGGTCTACATCTTAAATTACATTTAATAAATAAAAACATATTATTTAGCCAAACTTATTGTGGTGTAGTTCTTTTGCCTTATTTTCCTCTTTTTATAACATTAAGCTCTGTTGTTTATTAATTGTCTTTAAAATTGTGGTTCCATACAATAAGATTATCAAATAAAAAGGGCAGCAATAAAATCCTAGTTATGGGTACTTCTTGTATATTGTGTTTTGCATGAATAAATGAAAATCTACATGTTTCAAGTAGAAATAAAGTTGTAGTGATTATTACAGATGTTGGAGGCAGGGTTTACTGGCTTAATGTCCCTGGGCAAGGCCTTGTTCTAGCAGAGAACTTGTTCTTTGCTAGAACTAGCTCTGGGCTAAAGATCTATGGATGCCATTAGACCATTAGCATAACCTTGCAACATTATCCCTCTGATTTGTTTGTTTAGCCTTTCAACCAATGATTAAACCATTTATGCTCAATTTTAACTTAAAATACAAACTCAAGTGCAGCAGAATGGTAAAGTTACCCTTGTGCTAAAAATACTTTTTTTCTACACTTAAACAAGAATTAGTGTTTTTCTTTTTCTAGACTAGCTTGTAGTTGAAAAAAAAACACTTTAAATAACTCATTAACTGTTTTAAAAAAAAAATAGGTGACGACCTTTACCCAGAAGCCGTAGACAATGTAGACCCACAGATTTTAAACTTTGATGAGGAGAGTCTGGAAGAGCTGAACACTAAATACAGGAGGCATCACAGAGTTGTCATGGGCAAGGGACAGGCAGATCCTGGCATGCACATACTGTGTAATACACAGCCATCTGAGGGTCACGTCAACCCAAATATTGATTTGTTTGAGAAAATAAGGCTCAAGGCTAACTTGTAGTGTAGAGTCACTTGCTTGCTTGCTACAGTGGCAACTCACACGTGCTATTATATATATATATATATATATATATATATATATATATATATATATATATATATATATATAATATATATATATATATATATATATATATATATATATATATATATATATATAGATAAATAAAACAAAATAAATATCTATATATATAAAGCAAAGTGGTCGGGTGCCCGATAGGGCACTTCCCGGCGCCGCAGGCGCGTCAAATTTGGCACGAAGGTGCCTTATGGCGATAGAACACGAGGGCCGGTGACGGTTCGGCAAAAAGTCTACGGACAGGGGGTCAAAACTGACCTCGACTGACCGGCGCCTTATATGGGCTATATTACGAAAAAAAAATTCCTCCGACGACCCCCCTTGAAATTTTGTGAGGTGGTAGGAGAACACCTTGGGGTGTCACAAAAAACTCGGCATATCTGGGAAAACTTCGTAAAGGGGTCAAAACTGACCAGTTGTATTTCCCTATATAATCTTTGTATTTTATGGGAAAAACAGAGGGTCATTTCAACGCAGACTTTAGGGTACTTAAGCTCAGTATATCTGGCTAATTTTTTGCATGCTCCTAGATCAATGGCTTGACCTTTAGGGAAAACTGTCGGTTACACTCAAAGCCCTCGACGAGGGCTAAAAAGTGACCGCGAGTGAAATTCTCTTTATATGAGCTCTATTACGAAAAAAAATTTCCTCCGACGACCCCCCTTGATATTTTGTGAGGTGGTAGGAGAACACCTAGGGGTGTCATAAAAAACTCGGCATATCTGGGAAAACTTCGTAAAGCGGTCAAAACTGACCAGTTGTATTTCCCTATATAATCTTTGTATTTTATGGGAAAAACAGAGGGTCATTTCAACGCAGATTTTAGGGTACTTAAGCTCAGTATATCTGGCTAATTTTTTGCATGCTCCTATGTCAATGGCTTGACCTTTAGGGAAAACTGTCGGTTACACTCAAAGCCCTCGACGAGGGCGAAAAAGTGACCGCGAGTGAAATTCTCTTTATATGAGCTCTATTACGAAAAAAAATTTCCTCCGACGACCCCCCTTGATATTTTGTGAGGTGGTAGAAGAACACCTAGGGGTGTCATAAAAAACTCGGCATATCTGGGAAAACTTCGTAAAGCGGTCAAAACTGACCAGTTGTATTTCCCTATATAATCTTTGTATTTTATGGGAAAAACAGAGGGTCATTTCAACGCAGACTTTAGGGTACTTAAGCTCAGTATATCTGGCTAATTTTTTGCATGCTCTTAGGTCAATGGCTTGACCTTTAGGGAAAACTGTCGGTTACACTCAAAGCCATCGACGAGGGCTAAAAAGTGACCGCGAGTGAAATTGTCTTTATATGAGCTCTATTACGAAAAAAAATTCCTCCGACGACCCCCCTTGATATTTTGTGAGGTGGTAGAAGAACGCTTTGGGGTGTCACAAAAAACTCGCCATGTCCGGGAAAAATCGGGAAATGGGTCAAAACTGACCAGTTGTATTTCCCTATATAATCTTTGTATTTTATGGGGAAAACAGGGTCATTTCAAAACGGATTTTATGGCATTTCACCTCTTTTCATCTGGTTCAGTTTTGGCATGCTTATAGGTAAATGGCTTGACCTTTAGGGAAAACTGTCGGTTACACTCAAAGCCCTCGTCGAGGGCTAAAAAGTGACCGCGAGTGAAATTCTCTTTATATGAGCTCTATTACGAAAAAAAAATTCCTCCGACGACCCCCCTTGATATTTTGTGAGGTGGTAGAAGAACGCATTGGGGTGTCACAAAAAACTCGCCATGTCCGGGAAAAATCGGGAAATGGGTCAAAACTGACCAGTCGTATTTCCCTATATAATCTTTGTATTTTATGGGGAAAACAGAGGGTCATTTCAAAACGGATTTTATGGCATTTCACCTCTTTTCATCTGGCTCAGTTTTGGCATGCTTATAGGTAAATGGCTTGACCTTCAGGGAAAACTGTCGGTTACACTCAAAGCCCTCGTCGAGGGCTAAAAAGTGACCGCGAGTGAAATTCTCTTTATATGAGCTCTATTACGAAAAAAAAATTCCTCCGACGACCCCCCTTGATATTTTGTGAGGTGATAGAAGAACGCATTGGGGTGTCACAAAAAACTCGCCATGTCCGGGAAAAATCGGGAAATGGGTCAAAACTGACCAGTCGTATTTCCCTATATAATCTTTGTATTTTATGGGGAAAACAGAGGGTCATTTCAAAACGGATTTTATGGCACTTACCCTCTTTTCATCTGGCTAATTTTTTGCATGCTCCTAGGTCAATGGCTTGACCTTTAGGGAGAACTGTCGGTTACACTCAAAGCCCTCGACGAGGGCTAAAAAGTGACCGCGAGTGAAATTCTCTTTATATGAGCTCTATTACGAAAAAAAAATTCCTCCGACGACCCCCCTTGATATTTTGTGAGGTGGTAGAAGAACGCCTTGGGGTGTCACAAAAAACTCGCCATGTCCGGGAAAAATCGGGAAATGGGTCAAAACTGACCAGTCGTATTTCCCTATATAATCTTTGTATTTTATGGGAAAAACAGAGGGTCATTTCAAAGCAGACTTTAGGGTACTTAAACTCAGTATATCTGACTAATTTTTTGCATACTCTTAGGTGAATGGTTTGACCTTTAGGGAAAACTGTCGGTTCGACTCCAAGCCCTCGACGAGGGCTAAAAAGTGACCGCGAGTGAAATTCTCTTTATATGAGCTCTATTACGAAAAAAAAATTCCTCCGACGACCCCCCTTGAAATTTTGTGAGGTGGTAGAAGAACACCTAGGGGTGTCACAAAAAACTCGGCATATCTGGGAAAACTTCGTAAAGCGGTCAAAACTGACCAGTTGTATTTCCCTATATAATCTTTGTATTTTATGGGAAAAACAGAGGGTCATTTCAACGCAGACTTTAGGGTACTTAAACTCAGTATATCTGGCTATTTTTTTGCATGCTCCTAGGTCAATGGCTTGACCTTTAGGGAAATCTGTCGGTTACACTCAAAGCCCTCGACGAGGGCTGAAAAGAGACCGCGAGTGAAATTCTCTTTATATGAGCTCTATTACGAAAAAAAATTTCCTCCGACGACCCCCCTTGATATTTTGTGAGGTGGTAGAAGAACACCTAGGGGTGTCACAAAAAACTCGGCATATCTGGGAAAACTTTGTAAAGCGGTCAAAACTGACCAGTTGTATTTCCCTTTATAATCTTTGTATTTTATGGGAAAAACAGAGGGTCATTTCAACGCAGACTTTAGGGTACTTAAGCTCAGTATATCTGGCTAATTTTTTGCATGCTCTTAGGTCAATGGCTTGACCTTTAGGGAAAACTGTCGGTTACACTCAAAGCCATCGACGAGGGCTAAAAAGTGACCGCGAGTGAAATTGTCTTTATATGAGCTCTATTACGAAAAAAAATTCCTCCGACGACCCCCCTTGATATTTTGTGAGGTGGTAGAAGAACGCTTTGGGGTGTCACAAAAAACTCGCCATGTCCGGGAAAAATCGGGAAATGGGTCAAAACTGACCAGTTGTATTTCCCTATATAATCTTTGTATTTTATGGGGAAAACAGGGTCATTTCAAAACGGATTTTATGGCATTTCACCTCTTTTCATCTGGTTCAGTTTTGGCATGCTTATAGGTAAATGGCTTGACCTTTAGGGAAAACTGTCGGTTACACTCAAAGCCCTCGTCGAGGGCTAAAAAGTGACCGCGAGTGAAATTCTCTTTATATGAGCTCTATTACGAAAAAAAAATTCCTCCGACGACCCCCCTTGATATTTTGTGAGGTGGTAGAAGAACGCATTGGGGTGTCACAAAAAACTCGCCATGTCCGGGAAAAATCGGGAAATGGGTCAAAACTGACCAGTCGTATTTCCCTATATAATCTTTGTATTTTATGGGGAAAACAGAGGGTCATTTCAAAACGGATTTTATGGCATTTCACCTCTTTTCATCTGGCTCAGTTTTGGCATGCTTATAGGTAAATGGCTTGACCTTCAGGGAAAACTGTCGGTTACACTCAAAGCCCTCGTCGAGGGCTAAAAAGTGACCGCGAGTGAAATTCTCTTTATATGAGCTCTATTACGAAAAAAAAATTCCTCCGACGACCCCCCTTGATATTTTGTGAGGTGATAGAAGAACGCATTGGGGTGTCACAAAAAACTCGCCATGTCCGGGAAAAATCGGGAAATGGGTCAAAACTGACCAGTCGTATTTCCCTATATAATCTTTGTATTTTATGGGGAAAACAGAGGGTCATTTCAAAACGGATTTTATGGCACTTACCCTCTTTTCATCTGGCTAATTTTTTGCATGCTCCTAGGTCAATGGCTTGACCTTTAGGGAAAACTGTCGGTTACACTCAAAGCCCTCGACGAGGGCTAAAAAGTGACCGCGAGTGAAATTCTCTTTATATGAGCTCTATTACGAAAAAAAAATTCCTCCGACGACCCCCCTTGATATTTTGTGAGGTGGTAGAAGAACGCCTTGGGGTGTCACAAAAAACTCGCCATGTCCGGGAAAAATCGGGAAATGGGTCAAAACTGACCAGTCGTATTTCCCTATATAATCTTTGTATTTTATGGGAAAAACAGAGGGTCATTTCAAAGCAGACTTTAGGGTACTTAAACTCAGTATATCTGACTAATTTTTTGCATACTCTTAGGTGAATGGTTTGACCTTTAGGGAAAACTGTCGGTTCGACTCCAAGCCCTCGACGAGGGCTAAAAAGTGACCGCGAGTGAAATTCTCTTTATATGAGCTCTATTACGAAAACAAAAATTCCTCCGACGACCCCCCTTGAAATTTTGTGAGGTGGTAGAAGAACACCTAGGGGTGTCACAAAAAACTCGGCATATCTGGGAAAACTTCGTAAAGCGGTCAAAACTGACCAGTTGTATTTCCCTATATAATCTTTGTATTTTATGGGAAAAACAGAGGGTCATTTCAACGCAGACTT